ATCTACAGTTGTAAAGGGATTTAGTGCGAACCAAAGCTGCTCTATGTTTAGGCCTGTTACTCATATGTTAATTCAGTAGTTGCAAAGAGCCTGGTACCTCCTTGTCTTTTTTTTTCCCTCAATGCCATCTCGCATATCAGCTCAACACTTGTGCTTTTTAACGCAAACTCAACTTCTCATGAAGGAAATCCACGAATGAGATTCACTGCGTTTTTCTTCTGTGTGTGTGCTTATATTTTTGTTTGTGTGTGTGTGTCTCCCTCCTCGCTCCATCTCACAGTTTACTCCCTCCCTTTACTCTCTCTCTTTCACACACACTCTCACAGCGCACACTTTGCGCGTTCCCGGACACACACACACACACACGCACCAACACACATGCAATATGCAGAGTTTTTTTTTTAAAAGAACGTTTGCACACGTTCACATCTGCACACATGCAGATTTATTGCGACCCTCAGTGAACTTTGGGAAGTGACAAGCAGCCTGTTAAGTTTTGCTGTATTCCCTCCATATTTTACTGGCTTGTTGAAATGTGAAGGCTCCACACGCTGCTTTTAAATAAACGCGTCGTGTGTTTACAGCCATACTATATCGCTATGAAACGATTAAGTGACATGGGTTAAGAAGAGTCACGAATGTTGCTTTTTTTCAGTGTGCAACATAAAAAAAAAAGAAGAAAATAAAGAGGGGGGGCCAAATGTAAAGCAATTGTTGCTTTAGTGTTAAAGTTCTGACTTTATTATATAATTTCACCATTTCTTAAATGTGTTTGAGTCCTACTTAAAGAAATAGTGAAAACAGAAGTAGATAATATGTGTGTGTTTCTCTTTTTCTGCGTGCTGTGTTTTCAATTTCACCCTAGAGAAGCAGAGGTACTTAGCCCTTTTTTTCCTCCCAACTGAATAATAAAACCTTACTTCAGAAAAGGCGTAAAACACAGCAAAGCATGCCCCTTCCTACCTTTGAAAGTCCCTGAAAATTTTTTACGCCCCTATTAAATCTCAGCGTGAATAAAACTGTTGGATAAATGCAGTTTTATAAACATCTTAAGTCTTTTTTGTTTGTTATTTCAGTTTAATTACACAAAATTAGTCAATTTGCATGCAAACGACACTAGAGTTGAAATAAAAAGAAAAGAAAAAACATCATGAATGACTAAATTTGGTTGATGCAGGCGCGATGCAACGTGATGCATTTAAGGAGGGTTATTCTGCAGGACTGCGGTATGTATAATTTTGTTTTATTTAGTCATCTCTGCTGGGATTACCTCACGGGGCGTTTGGAAAGCTCATTGGTTATAAGATAATCTTGTCTCAACAGCGCATGCGCCCTGCTTTAAAATATGGGAATATTTTATGGAGTGCAAACCCTCCCTGACTGTAGGCCCATACTTTTGGAAAAGAGAACATAGCCATCACCCTGGTAAACAGCTCACATTTATATGCTTGTTGTAACTAGATGCAATATAGGCTGCAAAAGGTTATTTTTGATGACAAAAAATTAGATGCATAATGTTTTTTCTAATGAAATAAAGTGGCCTATATAGCAGGATTTGTTGGCAGCAAAATTAAGTGATATTTCTTTAATTTTTTTAAGGTCCAAGTTGTCTGGCCTGTTGCCCACACTGTGTTTGGCCAGCCAAGGCTGCTTGTTCTGTAGATAAGTTTGAGTTAACCCAATAATGACATGACAAAAGTAGAATATAGCCTGAATTTCCCTATTCGATAAGCTAATGCCTAGCTTAGAGTGACTTGTTTTTGTGTTTTTACTGTAGAGTGTGATTTTGATTTTTTTTTTCAAGTGTGTCTATGTCTTTAATGTGCAGTTAAGAACAAAAAACATATTCTATTACACTGCTGTGCCTTATTTAGTCAATAGGATACATTTTAGATAGAGCGCTAACTAGACTTTTAAAACTATATATTATTTTATATCAATATGAAAAAAATGTATGAATGTTAATTTTTGCTCCCTCAAAAAGTCCTCACACCGAAGTCGAAAGATGGAGAATTCTGCTGTTTTAAAAGCTATACCGTTATACTTTTACTTAAAAATTATTTGAGATATATTGTTGATCTACTTGCAGGTGGGAATATATTTATCTTTCCAAAGGGAATGTATTTATCCGCGTATGCTCCTATTAATTTTGCAGTTAAATATTGCTGAAAATCTTCAAGAGGAGGCTTTTCTATTCCATCATCCATCTCTAATAAATGTAGTTTTTGCAGTTTAATGTCTGACTATATCACATCTGTGTCGAGTACATCATTTTGCTGTGTGTGTTTTGTCTTTTCCGCTGTTGAAGTATTGCAGTTTTTCTCTGTTTAATCTGAAATAATTAAAATAATGTATACAGTAGAGCGAAAACTAAACAGGTGTTCTACATATTGTCAGATTAGGCGGTCAGTTGGGCTCTGAGTGACTGCACTTGGAATTTGCCTTCATATGGCTGATGGAGAGAACTAATTGACTTCTTGCTGTGATTCACTGGAGCAGCTGTCCCCCAAATGGACTCATCCCAAACCTGTTAATTCATCTAAATTTCATAATGTGATGGCAACAAGGTGCACTGCCATCCCCATAATAATTACAAATATCTCAGCCCCACAGTCCTTTCGCTGATACATTTTTGCAAAATATTTCTAGACCGAAATCAGTTTCTGAAAAATATTGCAAGTATGCACTTTGCTATAAAGATAATAATCTGTTTATATTAGGCTTTTTTGTTTTTTTTTTCAGAACCATTGATATTAATCACAAGGGGCATCATCCGTTTAAGTTTGTTTTATACAAACCTATATCATATTCGTATGTTTGTGCATTTTGCGGTTTTGTAAACAGTTTTATAATGTGTAAAGAAATGCAATCGCCTTCTAAGTTAAAGGATATTAGAATTGACAATGCACTTTGAAATTCGCTTTTAATTTACAGATTAAAATTTTTACACCTTGTATTAGAAACATGTTGTAATTTGCTTCTCTTTGCTTAGTTTGAAGCACAGTAACCATCCTAGATGCTACGAGGACATTACAAGTGAAAGATTTGCTCAGGAACTCAAATATCACTTTGTGTCCAGTGGTCAGTTACATGTAAGTTTTCCTGTTAAACAAACATGAATATGGGGATTAATTTAGACAAGTGAAATTAGTAGACCGTTATTTTTTATGTAGTATTATTGAATGTGATTTAAAGTAAAACAGATAAACTAAATAGACGAAAAGGACATTAAAAACTAGAAGATTTTTCAAAAACAATAGAAAAAAAAGAATTCTTATGTTTGCGGGGATGTGTCAAAAAACACTTTTAATTTTCTTTAAAAAAAAAAAAAATTATATATATATTTATGAAAAAAAAAAAACTAAATCAGACTACCTTTTCTGAAAAGCTACCTTTTCATTTATTTTTGAAATTGTAAAAAAAAACTGCAAAAATCTATAGCATAATAAATTCCTCAATAAAAACACAATATTTTTGGTACTTCATTTTCACGATTGATCGATTTAAAACATTGTTCTCATTTATAGTCTCTAAGTTTAATCTTTATCGCTTATCTGAGACTTCGAAACATTTTTTTTTAAATTTAGCTTATCATTTTTTTATCATACATTGTCTTATTTGTATTACATTTTGTTTATTAGGTAAAAATTAGAAGTATTTTTTGGGGGCATTTTGGTCTTTGACATTTAAAACTATATATTCATTATTGTATACTATAATCAGTTTTTCCTGCTGGAGAAAATGCCATAAAACAGACCCAGGAAAACACCTCAGCTGCTTTAACTCTGCTGCTACAAAGGTGAAGCCAAACGGCCTCGTAGAATCATAACATCTCTTTGCAAATCCCACCTTTTTGTTTCCCTTTTCATCACAGAAAATACCATAGAAATCACTAGTTTTGCCAGACCTTTGTGCAGGCTGAGTGGCAGATTGTAAACCTACAGTTTGATGACCTTATGATCTCAATTATTTTCAAAAATCCATCAGGTTAAAGGTTGACAAACATGACCAGCACTGACAATCAGGATGGCTTTAGCCCAGCTCCAGGCCTGTTTACTATTTTACAGCACTTATAGTCAAGAGGTTCTCTCTGCTTCATTGCTGCCCTAAGAATGCAGGGCAACCTAGGTCAAAATAACAATTTAGTATTTTTATCATAGATATTTTTTTGTGGCATTTAGGTTGGAGGGGCGTTTATAAAAAAATCTGCCAGCGACAGTCTTAGGAAATAAAGGAGGCTTTCACCTAAACCACATAAGCTACAGCCTGGAGCCCACGCCTCATTGCGTGGATTTAAATAAAACTAAGAGATGAAAGAATGTGCTTTAACTGACCGAGGTGTTGTGGAGCCTAAGCCACGTCAAAAAAAAAAAAAAAAAAAAAAAAAAAGTAAGCTGACGTACAGGAAAAAATTTGCTCCACTAGAAATGCAGCAGCAGTGAAGAGCTCCGTGTCCTCACAGCACCCCAAAGTATATATAAGAAAGTTTTCATACAAGCCTACTGCAAATTTGTCACGTTTCACATTTTATATAACCGCTTTTTTTGTACAGAAAAAAAATCATGTATTCCAGCCTTTAGGACGCTTTTGCACTTTTGAAGATAATTTATCTACGTGCTTTAATTAGCTTTATTTACAGAGATGGTTTACATCACGCTCTGAGGTATAAAGTAGTACAGACTGTTCTGTTGTTCTCCCCAATGACAGTTATCTGAGAAAAAAATTCACCCTGAAATAATAATCATAATGATAATAAAAAAAAAAAATATTCTACAACTTGTTGCTTCATTTCAGTTCACTCTTTTCAAGTGTTTCAAACTTGCGCATAAAGAAACGAATAGAGGGTTATTTTCTCATAGATTTCAATTTAATAAAAATAAAATACGCAGAGATTTAAATGTTTAACAGAGAAACATTTTCAAACATTTTTTTAAACGCAGATTCGTGCAAAAAACAAACAAAAAAACAACAAAAAACAACTTACATAATTAAAATTCATT